CTCCAAGCGTTTCTCGGCGAATGGCAGGGAGTACAAGATGAAACTGAAAACAACATCAGCGTTTTATGTTGAACATAAATCCGCTACCCGTGATAGCGCTTTTAGTTGTAAATCGCGACCCGTATTAGCGGTTATAAAGTGTTAAACTGCTATTATTAACAACAGTTCTACACTTCTATGTTGAACTAGGATAAGAAAATTACGAAGCTAGCAAACAAGCCTAGGTGGACAATACATTGGGAATCAGTTTATAAACCAATGTAAAGCAAGAATAAATTTTTATTTAAGCAATATTCAGGGAAAACGTTCGAAAAAGAAAAAGGAAAATAAATACACTGCTCATAAATAGGCAGCACATATCAACAACCTTTAACAAATGAATAGAACCAATCACATTCAATGCATGGCACAAAAAAAAAATAAAAAAAAAGGTGATACATCAGTTAAAAAATGAGGACAATTTGGGGATTAAATTAGGAGAATGAGGTTAGAATTGTAAAAAATCACTTACTAAAAAGGGAAAGATTCTAATAATAGGTCCTTAATTTTGATTTGTCAAAAAAGGAATACAGGTCCTTAATAAAAGGATGGAGGGAGTATTTTTCATTGGTTTCAAATTTCAAATTTAATTTCTCCCCCTCTCAATTTATCTATACTCTTTAATTTATTTATTTTCCTTCTATCACCAACTATCTGTATCTAATGCATCTTTCCCTTTTGCTTCTTCGAACAAAAAACATTGTATGTATATATTTTTTCTATTTTTTTTGTATATATCAAGTTTAAAATCATTACTTATTTGCTTAAAATCGTGTATAGTACAAGTCTAACATTTCGTATATGCTTAAATTTTCATAATTGGTTTGATCTTGTTCAAAATTAATGATATTAAATTAGCATTTACAACCCTGTCAAAAAAAAAAAGCATTTACAACTAATGGTTGTGTCTCTATAACTTTTCTCATATGAGGTAATTAAGTAATAAGTACACATAAAATATATACTCTATATTTCAAAGAAATTTTTACTGTCGTGCATCGCACGGGGCTAATTTAGTAATATACTAAAAGACACATCAGCAATAACACGTGTCATCTTCTGGCGTGTCCTTAGTTATTTTTATTTTATTTTATTTTTCAAAAAAATTATGGATTAAGAAAATAAATTGTTTACAAAAATAATACCATTTTTTATACATATTCCTATTAATACGTAATAATTATTATATTACGTATTTAAAATAAAATATTTAACAAATCTTTCTCAAAAAAATTGGACAACAATAAACCAAAAATGTATTCTAATATTGCTCAAATTCTTTACCTACCTTTGTTTTAGTTGTGTATTAGAAATTACAACTAATAAATCCAAATACCAAATCAACATATCACATACTTTTATTATTCCTCGATTAATTTATGATTATGATACTTATCAATCAATAATTGTAATTCTATTTTTTGTATAACTATAGATAAACGTGCATGACACGAGATCTAACCTAGTGTAAAGAATAAAAATTAAAAAGAAACACTTAAAATGGACATGAAAACGTAAAAAAAAAAAAAAAAAAAAAAAAAAAAGGAAATTCTCTTTTATTACACCCAACTTTCTTTTTTTCTCTTTGGTAAAGGGCCAAAACTTTCATTATCATTGGTAGCATTGTAGTTTTGATTACCATATATAATCACCATTTTAATAAAAAATTTTAACCATGGTTAATTTTTTTAATTTTTTAATAATTAAATAATAACAAAATTTTTTTTTAAAAAACAAAAAAACCCCAACCCCTCTCCTAGCCACCAGTCCCCCTGCCGGCGCTAAGCAACCTCAACCCGCAGCTGCAGCCACCCAGCTCCACCAGCCACGCACTCCAACCACCAGTGCTACTACTCTTCGCCACCTCCATCACGCAAACATCATCAATCGGCAACCAATCGACAAAATTACAACTTGCAACAATCCAATTCACTGCAGCTATCTCCACCTTCCCTGCTTCACCTTGCAACAATTATCCTCCCAAAACACCGCCTCCCTCACCTCGAATCTACAGCCACGATACTCCCTTGCTCCCCACAACAAATCGCAAGCAGTCCAGCCATCTCAACCTCGCACACGCCAACCACCTAACCACCTGCCAACAATACCACCGAACCCCCGCAACATACCACCAGTTAACCACCACTCCACCTTCACACCAACGCAGCAGCCCCAGTTGCACCAATTTCGCATCTAATTGAAGAACCATGGCTGCAATTCAACAAAGAAATCCCAATTTCGATTCATTCTCATCGCGGGCGCGCATCCTCCAAGCATGGGTTCATCGCGGCCGCGCATAGAGATGTGAAAAATTGCAATTTGAGGCAGCCACACACTCCAACCACCGGTCGATAATTGAGGGTGAGAGGAGCAGGTGAAGGTGTTTGCGTGAGGTGGATGTGAGGTGCGGCTGTTTCCGAGGTTGCCGATTGATGGTGTGCGGTGGAAAAAAATTGAGATGGAGGTGAGAATTGTGAGGCTGTTGTAGTGACTGGGTGGGGGCGTCAGGTTTAGGGAATGAGGGGAGGGTGGGGCGGGGGAGGCTGGGCGTCGCCGGCGTCAGCCGGGGGTGGAGGGTGCTTGGCGCCGGTAGGGAGAGGGCTGGTGGGTGGGAGAGGGTTTGGGTTTTTTTTTTAATAAATATTTTTATAATTATTAATTATTAAAACTCAAAACCTTTAACTATAGTTAAAAATTTAATATAAATTACTCATTAATGTTATAAGTAACTTAATATCAAAAGTACAATGTTTCCAATGATAATGAAAGTTTTGGCCCTTTACCAAAGAGAAAAAAAGAAAGTTGGGTGTTACCAAAGAGAATTTCTCAAAAATAAAGGGAACGGAAGGAGTATTGTCTATAGTTATGAACTTTGTAGTTAAAATCCGAAGCTATCAACAAAGCTATGGTGGAAACAGCTATGGTGTATGCCTATTCTGCCGAAATTAAAGATCTTTTGTTGGAAACTTCTCCATAACGCTCTGCCTCTTTCAGCCACTCTTAGTAGCTGAGGCGTTCGATTAATCCGATTTGTGTTTTCTATCGGGTGGATTTTGAAACGACTTCTCATCTTTTTCAAGACTGCACGTTTGTCCATCACCTTCTTACTTGCAAGTTTCCTAGCTGGGGTGAGTTGGCCTTTTATGGAAAGCCTTTAGAGTTGTGGTTCTCTGATGCTGAGTTCAGATTTCTTAAGAACTGGAGGGATTTGCGTTCCTTTTTGTGTCTTTTATGGGCTGTTTAGCTGACTCATAATCACTTTATCTTTAGGGACACCTTGTATTCTCCGGCTAAGATTTTCGATCTTGCAGATGAGTGGCTCTCTCATGGTGATCAGGCTGGGCTGTTCTCTCTTCAACATTCTTCTCGGTAGGTTCGGATCTCTTCTGTTATGCCTCGTCCTGTCGGTTGTCTTCGAGGGGACTCGAGTGCTCCTTTACAAGTTTGTCTAGTTTTGGACGGTGCTTGGAATGCTCGGGACGATTCCGCAGGAGCAATTTGGATTTTCAACAGGATCGATTCAGCTGAGGTATTAGGAGGCGGTGCTAGAGCTTGTATAGCAGTGTCTGCTATTCACAAGAGATTTCTTCGTCTTTTTATTTATACTGACTGCGCCACCCTGGTGTCTCTTATTAGCTGTGACTATTCAGAGTATATTTCTTGTTTATGGTTGACCCGCGATATTCGACGTACTCTCTTGGGTTTTTCTGCTTACAGGATTATTAAGGTGCCTCGTGACTGGGTGGAACCTACTCGCTGGTTGGCTAAGAAAGCTCGACAACGTAGGATTTTGTTTGGATGTTGTTAAACGTCGTTCGCAATTTACTAGGTGACGTTCACATTTTATACTTGAATTTCCTAAATTGCCCTCCGTATATAAATACTCGATAAACTAAGTTAGGGCTTTACGAGACATTTCCCATCTCACAAATCACTCTTTGACACTTTCTCTCTCTAAAACCTTCCAAAAAATCTGAATTTTTTTTAAAAAAAAAAAAATCTGGAGAGCTGACTTCCGCCCAGAAATTCCGGAAGTTCACAGGAACTTTCGAAAATTTCAGGCGTAAGTGGTGGTTTCCGCCTGAAATTTCCGGAAGTTCCTCTTGACTTCCGGAATTTCTGGGCGGAAGTTTAGGGTTTCCAGATTTTTTTTTCTTCTCTTTTTCCTCAGTTTGGTTGATTTGTTGCATGTTTTTTTTTAAAAAAAATTTTTTATTTTAAAAATATTTCTTTTCTTGATTTGTGGCATTAAAATAATATTTTTCTAAATTTAGTTTTGCAATAATTATTGTTATGTATTTTTTGTTGATTTAGTTTTGCAATAATTATTGTTTTGCAATATTTCTTTCCATGAGTTATAGTTTAGCAATAATTCTTGATTTACATTTTAATAAGTTTGTTGTTGTTATGTATTGTTATTGTTATGTAAATTTTATTTGGTTTGTATTGGTTTTTGTTGTTGTTGTTATGTATTATGGTTGTTGACTTAAATTGTTGTTATTGTTATTGTAATTGTTTTTTTTTTTGGGTTGTCGTTGTTGCGTTTTAATTTTGGCAATTTTGTGGTTAATTATAGTTTTGATTTGGTCTGTTATTGTGTTGAAATGATTTTTAGTGTGTTATTAGTGTGTTGTTATTGTTAGTAGTATATTAGTATTGTAAGAATAATATTATTGTTATTGTTAGTAATGTTGTTATTATTGTTTATTTGATTTGATTTATTATAGTTTTGATTTGATTTTTTTGAATATGAATTATTATTGAAATATGATTCTGTACTTATTTATTTAATGCAGATTGAGGGTTCTGGTCCTCGTCATGCAAGATCAAGACGTTTGAATGCGTCTGTTAGGAGGGAGTTAGGTGGTGCAGGAAATTCACAGGCACCGTTTCACCATGAGCAGCAGTATGGGACTGCTGGTACTTGGTCGGGGGAGCATCAGTCATAGGGGAGCGCCCCCATGTATTCGTCTACTGGAGTGCCTTCATTTGACGATGAGGATGAAGAGCGAGGAAATCAAGCTGGTGGAGATGCACAGTATGACCCTCAGGATTACTGTACTGTGTATAGGGGTGACCATGGGAGATATGTTAGTAGTAGTGACCCAGCTCAAGCTTCTACCAGCACGTCAGAGTCATGGATGGTGCAGGAGCCTATGCCAGGTGGGCCTGAGGATGGTACTGTTATTCCTAGTTTTGGGGGTCACGTGGCTGCCTACATATGGGGTGGGCAGGAGCGAAATGTTCTGCGGTGTTTGAGTAGGACACAGTTGTGTACTGAATTGGGTAACTGGCGCGCTCGTCTTCCGCAGGAGCACTTGGAACTGATTGATGGCAGTGGTCTATCTCACTTACCCGAGATCATGTTCCGACGATTTGACTAGCCCCTGATTTCTGCTTTTGTTGAGAGATGGCAGCCAGACACGAATACGTTCCACATGCCATTTGGGGAGATCACGATCATGCTGCATGATGTGTATCATATTCTAGGGCTTCGTGTTGATGGTTCCATGGTTTCCACTACTCCTAGCACGGACGTTTTACGGGACGCGTGCTCGATTACCTTGGATATGACTGCGGAAGAGCTGAATGAGAAGTGCGGTACTAAAACCGTATGGCAGGGTAGTGGGGTGCTGACTGAGAGGATAATGGAGTCGACCTTGGAGGCGCAAAGGCCCTTCAGTTTCCATTATAGGGCGTACCTGTGGTTAGTACTTGGCGGATGTTTGTTTCTGGACAAGAGTGGAAACCGTACTCATCCTTCCTTCCTCAACGAGCTTTTTGTTGAGGATGTTCAGATTAGTGACTACTCTTGGGGTTCTGCTGTGCTTGCATACATGTACCGGCAATTGGTTACAGCATCACGAAAAGATGCTGATTCTATCGCGGGCTGTCTTACGCTTCTGCAGGCGTGGATCTACGAGTACTTTCCGTGTTTTCGACCTCAGCAAGGGACCTTGACCAGAGAGCTTACTGTTCCTCGTGCGTCCGCCTGGGATGTCGGGTCGGGGTGCCCCAACAAGAGCATGGAGCGCCTCCTCGCTTTTCGTACTAGGTTGGATCATCTGACTGACAATGAAGTTAACTGGCTACCGTACGGAGTTGATCCAGCACGACGCGTGCCTGCTACTCTTTTCATTGGCTGCATCCAGTATCGTAGCATCATTGAGCCATATATGCCTGATCGAGTGGTTCGACAACTTGGATACGTCTAGGGCATTCCACAAGCCATCATCAGGCCTGAGAAGGCAAAGAGATCGACGAACTTGAAGATGTATCGAGTTGACTTTCCGCTAGAGATGACATCTGTGATGTGGACTCGGTTTGTCCCTGGTGTGTCTTTCAATGTCGTGATAGGTGCCCTCAGCAGACTTGGTGGTGGTGCTCCTACAGTCGGTCCTGGTTACATGCAGTGGTTGTATCGATTTTCTCATCCACGTGTTTCTCCAGTTGCGTCATCACATGAGAGTCGCACACTGCCAGAGAGAACTAACACGGATTACGTAAGTAGTTGTGTTTTTTGGTACTATAATTATTGATTAGGGGATTTTTATCCACCAATCACCATCTGACAAGTGGACCAACCAGGTTCCGCCACGTGTCCTTCACAAAGGCCAACAGGAGCTTGCCACGTGTCAATCACAGATACGTCCTCCATGGACCACTTAAGACACGCCACGTGTCCACCCATGCCAAATGGGAAAACCGGCCATCAAGGCCCAGTCCAGTCTAGAGGCCCGGTCAGCCCTAGGTTTACCTTAAACCTAGAGAGTTGCATGCTTCCCAAGGCTATAAATACTCGATTAATCCTCATTAATCAAGGAACGGAATAATTAAGAGATCAAGCAGAGAAGAACAGACTTATTAACGACCGGCTGATCTCGCTAACAACGCAGATTACCAACACTAAGCACTCTCACCTAGAGAGATCTGATTAATTTAATTTCTGTATTGATTACTCCTTAATCAGGTACTAACTTGACCGTTGGAGGCGGAGCTCTCAGGAGTCTCCGTTATTTTGCAGGTACAGGCGTCCGGTTCCAGTCTCGGAATTGTAACTCTCCCGCAGGACATCAGAAAACCCCGAAACATTTGGCGCCGTCTGTGGGGAGAGTACTTCAGAGATGGCATCCAAGTCTGTACCGATTCCAGAAGAGAGGCGTCCCCTAGATGACCCTCAAGTTCAGTCGGACCATGATACCGAAAGTGAATTTGAAGTTGAAACTCATACAGCTCCAGACGGGACCCTAAGGGCCCGACGTACCCGTCATACCGAAATGAGGGAACGGGAGTATCTTCAAACAGGAAGCGAGCCAGCAGGCGCACCGCTTGCTCGGCAACAGCCGACTGATGGGTCTGCTCCCATCACAAGGAACGAACTCATGACCTTCATGAGGGATTTCAAGGGAGAGATCCAAGAGTTGATCAACAAAAAACCGCCTGCTTCAGTCAAAGAGCAGTCGGCCAAGAAACCTTCCACTTCACTAAAGAGGAAGTCAGTTCAAGGGCGAGAGGCGACTCCCCATCCTAAATTCAAGAAGCGGGAGCCGTCTGCTCTTGATTTCACAAAACTCCGTTATCCTACGGGAAATAGGAAACCGGTTCGTCATATTCAGGCGGACGGGTCAAAGCAAACGTTCACAGATGCTCGGCACCTGCTAGAGCAGAAGAAGAGTGACCGATTATCAGAGTCGGCTTCTACTTCAAATTTTCAGGACAGTTTGCGAAATGCCTCGATGAGGCCAACTCAGTCGTACCATGAGAGTCAGTCAGGCGGCACCTCCCGTCAGTCCGACTTTCATAGTGCCCAGGCGGTACCAAACTTACCATTTGTGCCGCAACAACAGTATTTTATGCAGCCACCTCCATTTGGTGGACCTGCAGCAAAAAACGTCCAACCTATGGACTGGCAGCTACGGCTGCTTAGACTTGGTGAACAGCCGACGACCTTCTCCAAGGAAATTACTGAAGCCGCTCAGCCGGCCAAAGTAAAAAATATTCTAGTAGGCGCCTATGACGGCACTACTAACCCAGAAGACCATCTGATGGCATTCACCAACCTGATGTACCTTCAAGGGTTGGATGATCCCACTTGGTGCAAGTGTTTCCCAGCGACTCTCAAGGGAATTGCACAGCAATGGTTCGGCAACCTGCCGACTGGTTGTGTAAACAGCTTCAGGACGCTTGCTTACTTATTTGCCTCCAACTTCGCTATGAACATCCCTGCGAAGAAAACAACCCTTGATTTGGGAACAATTCAGCAGGGTGAAAAGGAGGGGCTTCGTTCCTACATCAGGCGGTTCAACCTGATGAGAATACAGATTCAAGGGTTACCGGATGAGGTAGCTTATACTGACTTTTTTAGAGGTCTCAAAGACGGGTCTACCTTCAAATTTGATTTAGTTCGAAAAAGGGTGGCGACTCTTCAAGAGGCCTTGATTGAAGCAGAAGCCTATATACAGGCGACTGATCTGTGTACGATGACACAGTCGGACGGGAAGAGGTTCGACAATAGAGAAGGACGACAGAAACAGTCGTCCAACAAAGATGAAAAAAGAAAAGAGGTCTGGGCGGCTGATTCCTCTAAACAGCCGGCCCAGAAAAAGAAAAAAGAATTCAAACCATACTCCCCAAAATATGTGTTTAACAAGGATAACCAGTTTATCCTAAAAGAAATAAAGGGACGGCTCTCAATTGAGAAGCCGCTCCCCATGAAGGGTTCTGCGAGCAACCGGAACCAAGACAAAATCTGTGCTTATCATGATGACATTGGTCATCACACCAATGACTGCATCAGTCTCATGCGGTACCTAGACCGCTTGGCTGATCAAGGTGATCTTGACACTTATGTCAAGAAATCTACGGGGAATACTTCCTCAAAAAAGCAGTCGGCCAAAAAGAATCAACAGGCCGACAGTTCCGATACAGATGATGCAGTCGTCTACACCATTGCAGGCGGCTTCTCAGGAGGCGGCCCCACTATTAGGGGCAACAAAGATAATATAAGGCGGTTAGATGTAAATTCCGTTCACCAAGAACGGCCGTCTAAATATACATTTCCTGAGATTGTCATCACTGAAGAGGATCTAGGAGGAATAAGGGGGCCGCATGACGACCCTCTCGTTATTGAATGTAAAGTGGCCAACCAGAGAGTTGGTCGAATCCTCATAGATACCGGGAGCTCTTCAGATCTCATCAGCAGCAAATGTCTGTCAAAACTGAAATATCAGACGGACTGCATACATCCGGCCTCCCACCCTTTAATAGGTTTTGGAGGAGGAGTCGTCCACCCACTGGGACGAGTAGATCTACCCATTCGCCTGGGCGAAAAAGGGGAAGGACGACACATGGTAGTCCGGTTCCTAGTGGTAGAGGAACTCTCGGCCTACAACATGATTCTGGGTCGACCAACCCTGAATAATTCCAAGGCTGTTATAATCCCGTCACTTATGCTGCTTAAGTTTGAAAGGGACAATGGAACAGTCGGCTCCCTAAGGGGAGATCAGAGGATGGCCCGAGAGTGCTATCTCTCGGATGTCAAGCCCACTGCTATGGCCACTGGGTCAAGTGGAGAAAAAACAGACCTTGACAATGTCAAGGAAAGTGCGCCTGTTCAAGAAACAGGCGACAAAAAGAGAAAGGCACCCCAGACTGAGTCCGCAAAAAAAGCAAGAAAATAGCAATCATTGGCAGAGGACCGGCCGGATGAGTTCCGCCCTCAGCCGGCTGGTGAGCATGTGGACCTGATATTAGACGACTCCCATCCTGACCGAACAGTAAAAGTAGGGACGACTGCTCTGAGAAACCTTGGTGACGACTTTCACAACCTGTTGAAAGAATACAAGGACATCTTTGCATTTGAAGTCCATGAAATGCCAGGCATTAGTCCTGATCTGGCAGTACACAAACTCGCTGTGGATCCGAAAAAGAAGCCGGTACGACAAAAGAAACGGAACCATGGTGAAGAAAGAGGTCAGGCGGCAGCCGCCGAAGTCAAAAAATTACTTGACGCAGGGTTCATTCGGCAATGTTACTTCCCAGATTGGGTTGCAAATGTGGTGCTTGTTAAAAAGCCGAATGGCACCTGGCGAATGTGTGTAGACTACACAGACTTGAACAAGGCGTGCCCCAAAGACAGTTACCCTCTGCCTAAAATTGATAACCTGGTCGACTCAACAGCCGGCCATGCCATGATGAGTTTTATGGACGCCTATTCTGGTTTTCATCAAATTCCTTTATGGAAGAAAGATCAGGAGAAGACGGCCTTCGTCACTGATCAGGGATTATACTGTTACACGGTCATGCCGTTTGGTCTTAAGAATGCCCCGGCTACTTTCCAACGAATGATAAACACAGTGTTCTTTGATCAGATTGGGAGAAACGTCGAGGCATACATTGATGATATGATTGTCAAGACTAAACTTCAGGAAGATCATCTGACGGACCTCCGAGAAACTTTCGCCACACTCAGGCGGCACCATGTCATGCTCAATCCCAAGAAATGTGTATTTGGAGTTGAGTCTGGGAAATTTCTCGGATTCCTTATCAACCAGAGAGGAATAGAGGCGAACCCTGAGAAGGTACAGGCGGTCATTGACATGTAGTCGCCTCGTACCGTCCGAGAGGTTCAGAAGTTAACAGGTTGTCTGGCGGCCTTGGGAAGATTCCTAAGTCGATCAGGCGACAAATGCCTATACTTTTTCCAGGCAATTAAGAAAAAGGCAAGGTTTGAATGGGGGCCGGATGCTGAGGCCGCCTTCCAGAAATTAAAGGTTCACTTGCATTCCTTGCCGAGGCTGGTCAGCCCTTTTCCCAAAGAAAATCTCTACATGTACCTGGCCGTCTCTGACCATGCGTTAAGCGCGGTGCTCCTTGCTGAAAGGGACGGCTGTCAACTTCCGGTCTACTTTGTCAGTCACGTACTGAAAAATGCCGAGTTGAGGTATCCCCTAGTGGAGAAATTTGGTCTTGCACTCTTCATGGCTGTTAAAAAAAAATTGAAGCCCTACTTTCTGGCACATGCAGTCGTCGTGTATACCGATCAACCGATCAAGCGGCCCCTTACCACCATGGAGTCCTCCGGACGAATGATCAAATGGGCCATAGAAATGCAGAGTCTCGAAGTTACTTTCGAGCCTAGAAAAGCAGTGAAGGGGCAAGCCTTTGCTGACTTTATTGTAGAGATGACTCGTCCTCCTGACTCTCAAGTTCCAGA